AGTTTTAAAGAGCAAGGATGGATAGGAACAAATGTCTTTTTGTAAAATTCTATTGTAAGCGAGAATTAAAGATAAACTATCGGTATTAATTTTAACAAAGGAACCAAAAGGACAAACAAAAAGAGTCATAAGAAGAGCAAAGATTTCAGCGTTAGTGGAGTTGGCCCAGAGAGGAGGCAAAGCAGCAGCAAAACTAATATCTAGAGAATCATGTACAAAAACAAAAGCGGAACTAATAAATGTTCGTAGGGGTGATGAAAAGAACTGATGAGAACCATCGGTGTAAAATTCTAAAACTGATTCATTGAATAAAGAAACTCTATGGTTATTAAGGGCTGTGATGATGTCTTCGGAAATAAATAAACTTTCAATTGTAAGGATATCAGTAGCTACATTTAAATGGACAGGTAGTATATTTGGAGTAGAAATAGAGTGAATCATTTTGAAACGAGCAACAGCTTGATCCATTAAAGGCCACAAAGATCTTTTAGGAATATGTAAATTTTTTTCATTGCTTTGAACCAATGGAGAGATATCGATCGGATTGGGAAGCAAGGGATCAATGAAACGCGCACACAGCAATTTTTTAAATTTCGGTTTAATGTTGTTCTTTTTTCTGGATTTGTTGAAAGAGCAGCCAGAACAAGGTATTAAAACATCCTTTCTTTTTGATGGAGACCGTGGATCATTAGTTGAATTGTTTAGGGTGAAATGTTGAAATAGACAAGGTGGAGCTGGAGAACCCAATTTGAAAACTTTTCCAAAGATAGATGATCCAGGAATTGGTAATTTGTAAATGTCGTAATTAGAAGGCGTCCAAATATTGGCCCATCCAGTATTCCATTGGAAATCCTCGATCGATGCAGACGTTAAATAATCGTTAAATACTTGAGGCTCAAAAGCAAATTCTGGTTTGAGGCGATTTGAAAAAACAGGATTTGATAGAACTGTCTTTTGTAATAATTTGAACCACCGTGGAGTAACTCCATTGAAATTAGCTGAGGAAAAGGATCGAAGCTGAATGTCATGATAATTTAGGAGGAAGCTGCCAGAAGCGACTACTTGGGAGAGGAACATGATATTTTTTGATCTAATATTGACAATATCGTTCGTGTTCCAAGGCATTATTGTGTTAAGAGGAACCAAACCTCCCGAGATTCGAAAAAGAGCAATCATTTTTGGAGAGTTAATAAAAGAAAAGTTAGAGTCATGGTAGGAGGTAATAAAATTCGAAAAAAAATTTTTATGTCTATAATGTTTCTGTGACTTAGGCCAGCAGACCAGAGGATTATCATGTAACCAAAATCTTTG